GGGCACCTGTAGTCCCAGCTACTAAGGAGGCTGCGGCAGGAGAATGGCGTAAACCCGGAAGGCGGAGCTTGCAGTGAGCTGAGATGCGGCCACTGCACTCCAGCCTGGGCGACAGAGCGAGACTCCGTCTCAAACAAACAAACAAACAAACATGATTTGCCTAATCTGTTAGCAAATATGTTATAGGGCTGCTGTATGCCTGGCCTTAGCCTCACAGCCATGAGCCAGACTGACTCACCAAGATCCTTGCCACCATAGGGCTGACCTCTTGGTCATGAGACACAGCAAATAAGGGAATCAATAAGTAAAGTCATCTCGCCAGGTACAGTGGCTCACACCTGTAATCTCAGCACTTGGGGAGGCTGAAGTGGGAGGATCACTTGAGCCCAAGAGTTCGAGACCAGCCTGGGCAACATAGCAAGATGCAATCTGTAATTTTTTTTTTTTCTTTTGAGACTTAAGTCTCACTCTGTCACCCAGGCTGGAGTGCAAGGGCGCTCTCTCGGCTCACTGCAATCTCCGACTCCCGGGTTCATGCCATTCTCCCGCCCAATCTGTAATTAATAATAAAAAAAATAAAATAAAGTCATCTCGCACACTGACTAGTGTCACGAAGAAAATAAAACAGGAGGATGTATTGAGAAAATGACTAGGGGAGCTACTTCGGGTTTTTTTACTTTTTTCAATTTTTAAAATTTTAATTTATTTAATTTACAAAGTTTTGAATGGGCAATAAATTCACTTGGTTTGAAATGCAAAGAGTGTGACATGGCATACAATGAAGTCTTTCTCCATCCCTCTCACACTTCAGTTTTCCATGGTGGGGGAGGTAGCTTTTGAAACAGGGGGATCAGGAAAGGTCTCTGAGGAGGGGACAATTGAGCAGGGACCTGACAGAGAAAAGTCAGCTCTGCAAATACCCCAGAGAGTGTTCTAAGGCAGAGGGAACAACCAATATGAAGGTTTAGAAGCAGAATAAAATTTGGCCTTTTTTAAAAAAAAAAAACAGAGTTTTCACTCTTGTTTCTCAGGCTGGAGTGTAATGGTGCAATCTCGGCTCACGGCAACCTCTGCTTCCTGGGTCAAGCTATTCTCCTGCCTCAGCCTCCCAAGTAGCTGGGATTACAGGCACGTGCCACTACACCCGTCTAACTTTTTGTATTTACTACAGACGGGGTTTCACCATGTTGGTCAGGCTGGTCTCAAACTCCTGACCTTAGGTAATCCACCCGCCTCGGCATCCCAAAATGTTGGGATTACAGGCTTGAGCCACCAGGTCTGGCCAAATTTGGCATTTTCAAGACAGACTTGAGACCTCCCAAGTGTGGTGGCTCACGCCTGTAATCCCGCAATTTGGAAGGCCGAGGCAGCTTGATTGCAGGAATTTGAGACCAGCCTGGGCAACATAGCAAAATCTTGTCTCTACAAAAAAAAAAAAAGATCTCTGTGACCACCAAATTCCCTAGAATCCCACACTCTCTATCTCACTGGTAACTCTTGCAATGAGTTTAAAGTGGACTTTTTACATATATTAATATATGGTATTTTGGGTGTTTCCTTGATTTTTTTCATTCCCTTTGTATCTTTGGCAACTTTTTATCCACTCAATGGATGTTTTCATTCTGTGTCATCCAGTCATTTACACACTTCATGCCACCCGTTTTTTTAAGAGACAAGGTCTAAGTCTCTTTCCCAAGCTGGAGTTTAATAGCACAATCATTGCTCACCACAGGCTGGAACTCCTGGGCTCAAGCAATCCTCCTACCTCATCTTCCCAAGTAGCTGGGACCACAGATGGATGAAACCACACCCAGTTAATTTTTTTTTTTTTTTAGAGATGGGGTCTCGGCCAGGTGCGGTGGCTCACATGTGTAATCTCAGCACTTTGGGAGGCTGAGGTGGGCGAATCATCTGAGGTCAGGAGTTCGAGACCAGGCTGACCAACATGGACCCGTCTCTACTAAAAAATGCAAAAATTAGCCGGGCGTGGTGGTGCATGCCTGTAATCCCAGCTACTTGGGAGGCTGAGGCAAGAGAATCGCTCGGACCCAGGAGGCGGAGGTTGCCGTGAGCCAAGATTGCGCCATTGCACTCCAGCCTGGGAAACAAGAATGACACTCTGTCTCAAAAAAAAAAAAAAAA